AAACACCACCTCGCCAAGCCCTGATCGAGCAGGAGGCAAGCCATCCTTCACCCTAACCTCATACACGGGTCCTGGGAACCCAAAAACTCATGTGAGTTTAATGCAGACGTGTCCCTGAGTAAGCACACTGCAGGCTCATGGCTTTAATCCCAAGTGCCATTTCCAGGAGGCCTTTTTCAAACATCCCAAGCTGTCTTGGCCCAATTCTGCCTTGCCTGTGAAACCTGCTAAGATCACAGCATGACTTCACGCGGCAGCAATTCTCGTTTACCACCCCAAAAACACAACGTATTATCAAGAGCTGGCTCTCGCTGCTTCCAAACTGAGAAAGTTTTTGTGAGGTTCTTTGAACATTTATTGAACTCGTTAAACTTTTCCTGTTAAGAGCTTTTCTTTACGGCAACAGTGGTGAAGCAATAACATCCTTCTGAAGGGAGTTTTTACAACCCCCTGCTACTTCGCCCCCCTCGAGCTCTGTCAGACAATAAGCTTTTGTTTGGATTTTTTTCAGCCAGCCAACTAAAACAACTTCTAAACTAACCAGCAACACTCTGGCTGGAGTAAATGGGCTGAAATGTCTTCTCCAAAATAAAAAATTGGGTTCACATATACAGTTTCTACTGTAACCCAGTGGGTGAGGTTGTGTCAGGGCTGATGGAGGGACTGGCACTGTTGGAGCATCCCCCATCGAACTGGATCCCACCACCCTCATCATGTCGTAGCCATCTGGCAAACTTCATCCCAAGCCAGTAGGACTGGATGAGATGTGTTGTTTTTTTGTTTGTTTTTTTTTTTTTTTGCAAACCCTTCCTTCACCATACACCTGATCCAAAAAGCACCAAAGGTGTTCAATTTTGATCTGTTGACTTCGGTGGGTTTGAGATCAGGCCTGTGTTGGCTGGGTGGCTTCAGTCTGTGAATGCATTTCTCGAGCTGCCCAGAAAAACCAGCAGGACAAACAATACCCTTTCCCCCAAACCACAATGTTTTACTATATTGAAGGCTTAAAGGAAATAATATACACCACATTTTTAGAGCAGTACGGTTGAAAGCATTGCATGTTTTCCCAGAAATAAGTTTTGTTTTCCTGGCTGTTACTCTCTATTTAGTAATTGTGCTGTGAAGATGGGGGAAGAACCCTGGTGCCAAAAGCTAACATGCCCATGGCAAAGAGACACTCACAATTACAGCAATTACAAAACAATTCTTCTTCTACAACCTTGTCCATATGGGAACAAGGGCAGTTTGTAAGGGTTGAAGCAGGGATCCCCTTGTTCTGGGGTGCTGCTGCTGGTCTCCCTCAAGAGTTTATCTCATTTAAACATCTGTTTGCTCAGTGAGTCTGAGCAGGAAGTTTTTCCATGAAAACAATGGAAAATAATGGAAAATAATGTAGATACGCTACACACCAAAGCACCAGGAATCCCCTTCTATGCTCTCCGTGGAAATTGTCTATCAGTTGTGAGCTGACTTAAAGATTGCTTTTATTGAAAGGGGACTTTGTGCACATAATGTGACCAGAATAGCTTGATTGCGTGTCAAAGATACAATGAAATCTATCGGATGTGGGGTTTATTTGTATTGGGACACTCAGGAAACTTATGACAAGTTAATGAAATCAATTAACAAAACCACTTATGCATCTGACAGCGATTGTGAAGTGCAAATGAATGGCAATTTCCTTGCAAATTAATAAACTCTCCTTGGGATTTAATGTGGTTTAACTCACCTTTGCACATTTTCAGCATTTTTCTGAACATTTTCCATGTCGACCAGAGCCAGCACGTACCCTGACAGCCCTTCAGTTGATGACCACAGATATACGTTGCTATTTATTCAAAAATAAACATCTTTATTAGGTAGCTGCAAATGTCCTACAGCAGTTTAAGATAAGCTCTGGGGACAGTGCAAGCAGTATCTGCCTGCAATTAGAAACACAGACTCAAGAACACTCTGTACATAACAGGTCCAGGGTTTAGCACCCACAAACACAGCCCCTTATGTTAGTCCCTGTTGCTCAAGCTTGATGTCTTCAAAAGCAGAGCTGGACAAGCTCTTATAACCCCCACTGCTGTGGCTGTAAGTTACATTATTTAACAGGCATTCAGTGGCAAAGCTCAAGCTTTTCCCACTTCTTTAAATACATCGAAAAAGTTAAGTGTTTAGCTCTGCACTTGGAATCCTTTCATCTGTCAACGAAGTGTGTTTGCTCACTTGAGTGGTTTTGCAATGATCTAATACCCCATAGCAGTATAAAAAAAGCATAAAAATATTTTTAAAAAAATATAAAAATATTTGAGCCGATCTAAGGCAGGGGTAGGAATTAGCCCAATGGTTCTGGCATGCCAAAATTTGCAAATAAATAAATAAAAATAAAATAAAATAAATAAATAAATAAAATAAAATAAAATAAAATAAAATAAATAAAACAAAATAAATAAAACAAAATAAAATAAAATAAAATAAAACAAATAAAATAAAATAAAATAAAATAAAATAAAATAAAATAAAATAAAATAAAATAAAATAAAAATAATCTATTAAATGGAAATGACCTGCAGTCAAACCCTCTTTGTTTTAAAGGACACCCTCCCTTGTGTCTCACACTGAGTGCCACCAAGCAAGAGCGGTACTGAGAAAGGAGTGTGAAGAAATACAACACAAAAAGTTGCAAACAGCACTTCTGGCAACACTTACGTCTTCTTGAGTGGCCTTTCATCTAGCTTTCCACAGAGATTTTTAAAAATTTGCTTTATTCTGCAAGGCGGTTTACCTTATTTGGTTAAAAATACTTCTTAAAATTCTCTCCACGATAATTTCAAGTATTTTCTGGCCTTGCTTTCCAAACAAATGCTCAGAGGAAACCATTTCTAACTTTCTAACGAAGTGAGTGGCTGATGATGTGAGTTCAGACCACGTGTGAAGACTGCGTGTGCAAGTTAGCATCTACACACTTTTCCGAGAAATGAGGTGATATTTCTGAAACCTCCTTCTTTCCCTGTTAGCTTGCTGGATTCACTTCAGCAAAGCAGCAGCTGGGCAGGTAATGGGAGCAGGCTGCTGCATGCATCGGTGCATTTTGCTGCAGCCGCAGGAATTTAATCTGTTTTGCTAAACAGACCCAAGAACATCCACTGGGACGTAATAAAGGTGGTGCTGTCATCTTCCAAACTATGCAGACAGATAACACTGGCCTTTTCATGTGGTTAGAAATTCAAATGACAAGTTCCTAGGGCGTCACTAAATTACACAGGGTCCTGCGTAATGCCGGGTGTGCAGCTGAGATTTGCAGGACTCTTCCAATGTGACCGCTCCTGTGGGACTGCTGATGCGCCAAGGATAAAAGAAGCCACGGCCCTCCCCAGGTGCAGCTTGCAAATACTCTGGTTAAAATAATCCGCCAAGCCTTATTAATTAGCAAACCAATTATTTTAAGCCCAAAAGGGATGATTATTTTGTTTGCACTCGGGCCTTATCCAGGTTATTAAGCGTCTCCAGATTTCCTGATTAGGTTCTTTATCATGTTGAATGGTGACGTGAACTAGGCAAGGGCTGGACTTAACCTGTCAAAGCTGATGGAAATCAAATGTAAAATGAAAATCTTAGCCCTGGTATTCCCCAAAAAGACCTCACTACTGCTGTGGGTATGGTATCATGTTTAAGGGCCATTCTGTAATGTCCTTGTGTGAACAGGTCCTTGTCACAATAGGGCAGGATAATAATAATAAATAAATAAATATAAATTTAGGGCAGGATAATAATAAATAAAGGGCAGGATAATAATAATTAATAAATAAATAAATAAATAAATAAAAAGTGAAATATGAGGCCAAAACCTCAACTAGCATGAACCTGGAAATCTGCAAGGACTTTTTTTTTTTTTTTTTTTTTTTTTTGGAGTTATATCAGTTCCATTGCTATGAGCATGGGCTTTGAGTACTGAGCATGGGCTTTGCTGACTTGGGCTTATGTCTAAATTTTCCTCTGGGGGAAATTTTGCTCTTTAGCACCTGAATTAAGGGTTAGATCTCTTAGTGTATGTTAAGCAGCAAATTAAGTGCAATATCCATATACAGGGCATGAGAGATGCTATGTTGAAGTAAGGCATATTACTTTGCTAAACAAAACCTGTATTTCAAAGGAAGAGAATTCAGAGAATTTTCAATGAGAAATTCATTGAACTGAATAAAAATAGGAAAGCCCTGCTATTGCTCTCCACAGCATGGGAGTCTTTCTGCAGGTAATGCCTACTGTAGTGTAGTGTGGACTTTGAATTCATGAAATCAGCATAAATTGGTCACAGTGTATTAGTTTACTGAGGACAGAAAGCACTTGAAGTTGCTTATATCCTACCACACGATTAATTTTTTTTGTGCAGTGGTGGTGTTTCATTGTTTAGTGTTTCTCTGGAACCTGCAGGGGTGTCACAGCAGCTGGGTTTGTGCAGCGAGGCATTGAATTTCTGCTGCGAGTCCAATTGTTCGCGTCTGTATTAACCAAACCCAGAACAACTCCAACTTATGACACCCATCATCTCAGGATTCAATGATTTTTTTTAAATCCTCTGATGCTGTGGGCAAACAAGCAGCAGCACGTTCATGCTGTTTCCATAAACCATTTTAGTGATTTATCTAGGAAATAGCTCTATTCCTATAACTGTGATTTTCTCTGATATTATACGTAATTCTGAGCTGGGTTAGTTTTGCTGGAGGAAGCATATCTGAAGAATTTCTAAGTCATAAAGCATTACTAAGTCTCTTGATTTTATGAACAATTTTGTTCCAAATGTTTTTCACACCTCTGGACTGAAAAGCAAAACAAAACAAAACAAAATTTCATTCTAGAAAGCAGGTTTCAATCTTCCAGCATAAGGATAGAGTTCAAAAGCAAGGAGCACGTGCATTGTAATGAACCAGAAACCAGGAGGTGAATAAAACTGATACAACAGGTCCAAAATTACTATGTTTAAACCTCAGGCTTGAGAACATGGATCAGGAGTCTGAACGCTCGAAAGTAATACACTTTACTATAGTAAATACTGAAACAGCAAATTTTTTTTTTTTTTTTCACAAGAATAAAAAATGAGGTTTCACCAGTTCCCAGAAGATTTTCCAAAAATACATCACTATTTGGAACTAATTCTTCTAAACAGAAATGGCAGCATCCAGAATTCAAACACAGCTCCAGGCTCACGGTGTCTGAAACTTAAGCTCGAGGTATCAAATTTGTTGGGCACCCCCACACAGAATCACCCGATTCAGTTAAAGTTTTGAAGAAAGTCCCCACTCACATGTCACTGTGTGGTGAAACCACCCACACTAATCAAGGGACAGTCTGTCAGCTTTAATTTTCACTCCTAAGAAGTATTTTGGGGAAAGGCAGAGCATGCAATGGAGGGTGGAGGATGAAAGAGCACGACTTCTGCAAGGACAGCCATCAAGTTCCAGAAAACTTCACTTTCCACTCCATTTTTCCTCTTTAAAAATGTTATTAATGCATTCTCCATAAGCTATCCATGACTGAAATGCATGCTATAGAGGATATTGGTACAAATACATCAACACAGCATGAATATTGCATGATCACAAACGGTGGAGGATGCATGAAGACGCGATGGTCTTCCACCGGAGGTCTTCCTGGTGAGGACATCTGCACCAACAACCGTGGCTGGAGGCCGAACGGGGCCACGTGGAGGAGAGGACAGGAGTTTCCAGCACTGCACGCTGTGCTCAGCCCTTCCAAAGCCTCCCGGCCTGGTGGGAACAGGCATTTCCAGTGCCGCGGCGCACTGGGGACAGGCATTCCCAGTGCTGCTGCTGGGGCGGCAGGACAGGCGTTCCTGGTGGAACGCTGCGGTGACAGCTGCTTTGCTGCAGCCACACTGGGGTCCCGTCCCTGCAGTGATGGGGACGAGCATTTCCAGCGTGGCTGCCTACACTGGGAAGGCGTTCCCAGCTCTGCAGGGTGCCGTGGGGACCGGTGGCACCAGTGGGACGTGGGGACAGGACTGGCGCTCCCAGTGCTGCGCGGTAGGTGGACGTGGTATGGGGATGGTGGGGACGGTCCTCCTGTTGGGGATGGAGGTTGCCCTTGTGGGATGGGATGGGATGGGATGGGATGGGATGGGATGGGATGGATGGGATGGGATGGGATGGGATGGGATGGGATGGGATGGGATGGGATGGGGTGGGATAGGATGGGATGGGATGGACAGCATGGAGAGGGTTGTGTCAGGCTTCCATGTCTTGGTGTCAATGTTGACCTGATGTGGGTGGGTTGGCATGATGTGGGATGGGTCAATGTGATGTGGGGTGGGGTGGCATGTTATGGGATGAGTTGGCATGATGTGGGGTGGGTTGGCCTACAGTTGGGTTGGTTAGTGTGGGTTGGCCAACTGTTGGGTTGGTTAGTGTGTTGTGGGGCATCTCGGTATGACTTTTGGAGTACATAAGGAGTGAGCTAGTGTCATGTGGGACAGCTTGGCACAACATGGGGTGGGCTGGTGTGCATATAGGGCAGACTGGTGTGAGCACTGGAATGACGAGCGGCGGGTTGGCGTCCTGTGGGGTGGCTCAGCCAGCTCTTGGGCTGGGCAGGACGATGTGGGGCAGGCTGTCGAGATGAAGGGGAGGTGCATATGACGTGGGGTGGGATGGCAAGTTGTTGGCGTGACGTGGGACAGCTTGGGGTGGACGAGCATCGTGTGGGGCACGTTGGCACGACATGTTTGGTGCATATATGGGGCAGAATGGTGGGATACGGTGCTTTTTGCTGGGATACTGGGTGAAATGGTGGGATATGAGGCGGATTACTGGCTGAACCAAGGGACCGTGCCCTTTAGGACTCAGCACCCACCCCATAGGGGACCCTAGGCCCGGCCGCCCCTCAGCAGGGCCTAGGCCGCTCCCCGTTGCCATGGCGACACCTCCCCCTCCCTCCCCGCCCCCGCCCCCCGAGCAAAATATTTTCGTCCCCCCCACGTGATATAAACAGCTCCCCCACCACCACCACGTGACGCGGGCGTCAATCAAACCCGCGCCTCCACCAATCCCCAGCCGCTCCTGCGGGCGCCGTCCCGCCTTCCGGCAGCCAGCGAGCCAATCACCTTCTCTCTCCCCCCTTTCCCAACCGTTTGACAGAGGCGGCCGGAGCGCGGCGCGGATTGACGCGGCCGCCAGCCTATAGAAACCTCCGCAACCCACCCGCCCTTCCCGCCTCCGGGGAGTTTTGACCAATGAGAGGGCGCGCTGCTCTCTTAGCCCCGCCCCTCGCCCCGCCCCCCGGCACTGCGGTAATATGGCTCCGTAGCGAGCGGCGCGGGTCGCTGGTGCCGCCGCCATTAACCCCTTCGTGCCCGGCGGCGGCAGCAGCGGCGCGGGGGGGCCCCGCCGGGTCCATGCACAGCAGAAGCAGCCGCAGCAGCCGCCGGTCGGCCGCCGCTGCTGCTGCCCCGCCGCCGCCCCTAGGATGATGATGAGCTCGGCCGCCGGCCCCGCCGCCTTGCCCCCGGGCTCCGCCAGCCGGGCCTTGCATGTGGAGCTGCCCTCGCAGCAGGTAAGGCGCGAAAAGGGGGGAGTTTGTAAGGGTGGGCGTGCTCTGAGGTGGAAGGGGTTGCCTGAGGTGAAAAGGGGGGATCTATGAGGTGAATAGGGAGATTATTGAGGTGAAAAGGGGGGGTTCTTGAGGTGAATGGGGGGCTCCCCTGAGGTGTGAGGGTGTTTTGAGGTGAAATGAGGGGATCCCTGGGGTTGGGGGTGTGTTGAGGTGAATGGGGGGAGCTCTGAGGTGAAGGAAGGGGACCCTGAGGTGAAAGGGGGGGGGGTTCCTGAAGTTGTGAGGGTGTTTTGAGGTGAAATGGGGGGGGTCCCTGGGGTTTATGGGTAGTTGAGGTGAAAGGGGGGGTTCCCTGAGTTGAAAGGGGGACTCTGTGAGGTGAAAAGAGGGGTTCTTCTTGAGGTTGAGGGTGTTTTGAGGTGGATGGGGGGGTACCTGGGGTTTATGGGTGTGTTGAGGTGAAGGGGGGCTCCATGAGGTGAAAGGGGGCTCCCCTGTGGTATGAGGGTGTTTTGAGGTGAAAGGAGGGGGGATCCCTGGGGTTTGGGGGTGCGTTGAGGTGAAGGGGGGACTCTGTGGAGTATGGGGGGAGCTCTGAGGTGAAGGGGGGGACCCTGAGGTGAAAGGGGGGTTCCTGGGGTTTGGGGTGTGTTGAGGTAAAGGGGGAGCTCCCTGAGGTGAAAGGGGGGGACCCCCTTGGATTTGGGGGCTCCCTGAGGTGAGGAGGGGGCTTTACGGGGTAAGGGGGAGCCATGATGTGAAAGGGGGCTCTCCTGAGGTGTGAGGTTGTTTTGAGGTGGAATGGGGGGGGTCCTTGGCATTTGGGGGTGTGTTGAGGTGAAGAGGGGTGGCCCTGAGGTGAAAGGAGCGTTCCCCTGAGGTTTGGGTTATTCTGAGGTGAAGTGGGGGGGATCCTGGGTTTTGGGGGTGTATTGAGGTGAAAGGGGGACTCTGTGGAGTATCGGGGACCCTGAGTTTAATGGGGGGTCTGCTGAGGTGAAGAGGGACTTCCTGGAGGTGTGAGGGTGTTTTGAGGTGAAATGGGGGGTCCCTGGGATTTGGGGACTCCTCGAGGTGAAGAGGGGACCCCATGGGGTTTGGGGGGGGGGTTCTCCTGGGATGTGGGGGTGTACTGAAGTGAAGAGGGGGGCTCCCCTGAGTTGTGGGGGTGTCTTGGGGTGTGAAGGAGGACTTTACCTTAGGTGTGGGGGTCCCTTGGGGTGATGAGGGTGCTCTCTGGGGTACGGAGATCCTTTGATGTGAAAGGATGGGGTCCCTGGGGTGCCTTGAGGTGAAGGGAGGGCTGACTGTGGGGCGTATTCTGGAAAGGAGTGAAAACTCCCCTCCCCGGCACATCCTTCCTTTGCCGAGCTCCGTTTTTCCTGTTTGCTGATGCTTGGCTTTTGGGTTACTGGGCAGCTGTCCCATGGAGCCCGGTGCTTTCATTTCGGGCAGTGTCGGGAGCAAGGTGAAGCGAGGCAGCCTGGACTCCGCTCGAGGGTTTAGCAATCCTTTGGCCTGTGCCCTTTCCCCTCCTGTGGCTCCAGCTGTGCTAGAGGGGGGGTAGTGACCGAGCACTGTTTTTGTTTTTCTGCAGAAATTCAGTGCTAGGGAAGTTCTGGAAGTTTTGGGGCGCTGTTGGTGGTGTTATGATCCAGGCACGTGGCCTGAGCTGCTTCAGCTGGCTGCTTCCAGGTGTGAAAACGAAGCATTCCTGGAGGAAAAAATCAACAGATCACCTCATTTCTAGCTGCCACAACCTCTCCTGGGGTGGGAGCGACTTACCAGGCCCTCACTCAGGGGCAGAGGAAGGATGGAGGTGGCTCTTGGCCACGGGAGCAGCGCCAATACTGACCCTGAGTTGAGGGTATCTCTTTTGGGTGAACTTTGCAGGGTGCTGAGCGTTGTTCAGGGGATCAAAGTACCGCCTTCTGCCTGCTAAATTCCTGGTTTTATTCTTTCCCAGGCTTGTGCAAGAACCGAGTGCACGCTGCAGGGAGAAGCCTTAGTATTAGTCACTGGAATTCATTTGTGAAAGTGAGACCAAAACAACCTTTTTTTTTTTTTTTTTCTTTTTTTCCTCTGGGAGTAGAAACTTTTGTAGGAGTTTGTAGGAACAGAAACTGAACCGTCAATTAGAGGCTGCTCCAGCCAAGTAAATATTTAGTTTGAGATCTGTAGGATGCTGGTGGAGATGCTGCAGAAATGTGAATTGTAGCAAGCAGCAGCCTGCAACAGTCTGAAGTGTTTTGTCGTGTGCTCTGCAAATCCACGGCCTGTGTGTCTGTGTTTTGTGCCAGTGCTTGCCATCGGCTCAAGAAGCTCTGAAACTACTGTCTCATATGCAGATAATACAGGGAAAGAGGAGGATTTGTTATCTGAGCTTCAAAGTCTCTTACTGAACTGCAAAATGCCTTCGAGGGGCTGTCTCCCGGAGGGTGTTTTACTGCAGAAATGAGAAATTGAATGGAAAAGTCATTGCAGTTCAGTGCTCCACCTGAATAATGCAAGAAATGTGTCTGATCTGAGTGGGTGCTGTGTAATACGAGGTGATGTTTGCTACCTGCTAGCACAGGATGTGACCCAGTGATTTGTTTCACTAGGCAGTTTTTGGCAGAACACCTGGTGCTGCCTTTTTGGAGTATAAGGATGAACGTGAGGTGGTTGAAGTCATGGTTATAAATCTCTAAAGAGTAAATTCTCAATTTGTGAACTTGAGGTGAGTGCTTTTAGTGGCCGAAGGTGTGATTTCAGTTTAGATTTAATATGATGTAGATGTAGATCTCAGTTTAGACATAACATGACCTGTACCTTAATGTGATTACAGGTAGGATGACCTGGCCTAACAGTGCATTTTGCTTTTTTCTCCCTTTTAAATGGGAGAAATAGATGGTGGAGCTGTAAAGAAATGCATCTGGTTAAGCATAATTCCAGTTTGTGTCCTTAATTGTTCCATGATGTCCCCCTTTTTTTTTTTCCCCTCCTGAAGTATCTTGAAACAACTGCAGTTGAAAGCAGAAATTCTTCAGCATTATCTCTTCCCAGCTGCTTGGTGCAAGAAAGCCAGGAGCGTCGTGATAACTTCTTACTGGTTTGTAAAAGCTTAGAAGAAACTTTTCAGTCCTCTCTTTATAGATACTTCAAAGGAATGGGGGGACTCAGACCTTTCAGGCTTACCATCGAGGTGGAAGAATTTGGCCAAAAAATGCAGGTCTTTAACATAGAGCGGGCAGTCACGCTGCCGTCAGATGATCTGCTGGATGTTACTGTGTTAATTACTGACCAAAAAAGATATCGTGTGGTTGGCTAGGGGCAAGAGCTTGCTAGAGCAGCCTGCTTGGACTTCAGCACCAGAGCTTCCAGCACTTAAACTTCTCCTTCGTGCTGAAATTGAGAAACTTTTGCTGTTGATTTCAGCTTTACTCCTTTCATGTGAAAAAGGTGAATTACGATGGGGAGAGGCAAACAAAACCCAGCGTGGATTTCAGTGTAACAGGTAGGGTGCAGAGTCAGATGTGCCTCTTTGCCTGGGACATGAAATGGCACTTCTGAAGTGATGCTTCACAGCTCATCCCAGAGCAGTTTCACTCTACACCAGCCCCAGGGGGATAAAAAGCTCATCAGCTGCTTGACTATCATCCAGCTAGGAGGTAAAAAGTTGGGGCTGCTCCTGTCATGATGTTCACAGGTCTGACTGAGCAGCTGCAGGAGGCTTTCTTCTGGAGAACACCTGTGAATTACTTCCGAATTATTGGAGAAAACCACATGTGGTGTCTTGTTACTGTAATGGGACCAAGTAGCACTTCCATCTCTAGTAGCAAGACCCGTGTTTTCCCTGGAAGTTGTTCAGCTCTTGGGCCCCTACTATTGATAACTTGATGTAGAAAAGAATTCTGCTCTCTGGGTAATGGACAGGGGAAAAAAAAAGCCAGCTGTTACAGTTACTAGGAGCTGTACTCAGTTAATTTTCTTCTGTCAAGAGGTTTTAATTCCAACTCAGTGCTGGAAAATTGTGTTTCAGTGTGTCCTGTTGTGTTTAACTCCTAGGTGGGTTTCAAAGGTGAGTGATTTAAAGGCTTTGGATGTGTTGCTCAGGAGGGTGCGTCTGGGGGAGCTGTGAATGTGGACGTGGTGGTAAGAAGGGAAAGGGTGAGCTGTGTCACTCTGCGTAGCCATGAACGTTGTCAGGCCAAAATCAGGTAACCCAGCATCTTCTGTGTCTTTCAGCTTGTAGCCATCTGCTGTCAGGTGACGAAAGCCTCTGTGGAGTGGAGCAGCAGAGAGTTTTCAGCCCCAAAGCTCAGAAGCAGGTGCTCAGGCAGAGCAAACGTTCAGTGAAACTTCACAGGGCCATTCTGTAGCCTTCAGTCACTGGACTGGTTCCATGTTGAGCCACATGAAGCTTCCTTGCTCTCCATCACCTCTGTTTACACCCGGTACTGATAAGGACTTGTCAGGCTAGATGTGGGCTGGTTTCGTGGAAGGCACGTTGGTATTTCCAGTAGTTGGGTAAAACCATCGTGTGGCCAGGATGTATTTTCTCTTATCCCAGTATTGCTCAAGCAATTGGTTTTCCCTGTTCTAAACATTCTTGGCAGGGAAAAAGTCCCTTGTTTTGACTGCTGAAGATGAAAACCAGACTGAGGAATTGAAGAACTTCAGCCAGCCAAACGAGGCTCTGAAGCAAACACCTAGTGGTAGGAAGGAAGTCCCCCAGAAATCTTTGAGTGTGAAACCACATCATAAGCTTTCTCTTCCATAACTTGCCTGTGATGGAAAGGGATTGAACTCGAAGACCATGAAGGGTTTTTTTTTGGGTTTATATTTTTATTCTGTGGTTCTTGCTGTAAAGAAGTGGGTAGCTGTACAAGAAATTTCCCATTGAGCTACATTTATTTAAATAATGTATGCTAAACATCGAGGAGTCGTGGAGCTTTTGGTGTTTCTAGTAGTTGGATGAGCTTGAGATACTTAACTCAGAAACATGTCACTGTGCTGTGTGAAGCCAAGATACAAAGGAATGGAAGTCACAAGTGAAGTGAACGGCAAAGCAAGAGGTGGAAAGAACTTTCCAGGAACAAAATTAATTCTTGACTGAAAGTATTTCTGGCTTTTGGTAGTAAACCCTGGCTTACTTTTAGCAGTCGGAAGCGGCGATCCAGGGTAATTAAATACCTCAGGTACGCACATGCTTTTGATATTTGATGCCATCAAAGCGAGTTGAGGTAAAGCAACATGAGGTGAATTAGAACGAGCTGAAAATTTCCAAATTCCTTGCTTTAAAGATGTACGCAGCTCATAAATAACGTGGGCACTGTGGCATAGACGGGTGATTGAAGGTGTTGGCAGCTGAGTTTGAGAGGCGTTGCACGTGGGAGAAGTGAAGAAACCTGCTCCTTGGGTTTGTGGCCGCACACGTACCAGTTCTGCAGCGAAAACAGTCTGCAAAAAGCATCTCTTCTGGAGGCAGCTTTCTGTTGCTATTGTTACATACTCCAGTGAGTAATAAGAAAACAAATCTGACTCTTAAATATTTGACTTCCTCTTTCCTACGAAGTGTGCTGGGGGAAATTTGAAAGGCAGATGGAAAGTGGTGCATTTGAATGCTGCTTTCACTTCTCTCTGACACACACGGTCTACAAACACGGAGCGGGGAGGGAAGAAACCCTCCAGTAAAACACCAACGTGGGAGCGTTGACCTGGTGATCACATACACCGCTTTCTCCAGCTGCATTGAGGTCTGGCACTTGGCAGAGACAGATGCCAGTTAGGGGGAAGTAGCTGCTGTGAAACTGGAAGTGTAGCCCTAAAATTGCAACTAATCTGGTTTAGGTCTGCCTGTTAATCTGGGGCTAGATTATTGCTTTGTATAATGTACTTTCCCCCCCCAACCCCCTTAGGAGTGTAAGTGTTTTTTGTAGGCTGATTTCTAAATATGATCTGTAGGAGACTGCTCCGTCAGCTGTAGTAAATCAGATTTGATGCTTTATTTAGGAAATACTAGAGGGGGGGGCATCAGAAAATATTCTTAACCGGGTGAAGGAAAGGTTTCCATAATTGATAAAGACTCATACTGTATTTATAAAGAGAGGCTTACTGCTCTACCCTCGGTTTGTCATCCTCTAAGATCATAAACATTAATAAGCTTCAGGTTATTATTAATCAGCACGTGCTGTTCCTTGTGTAACATGTTGCATGTCTAAAATTAGGCGGTCCTTTAGGGTCAGAAGGGCCTTTGCTTTGGTTTTGTTGATGCTCGGCTCCATCAGGCCGCGTGTAATTTTTTTGGGTCATCCTTCTGAGCATCATGTTCTCCTCTGGAATAC